CAACGACTCCCCCGCTTTGCCCCCGACCGAACCTTGCGGTATGCTGGCCCCCGCCCTTCTTGACCCCGTCCCCTACTTTGACGATCCAGCCAACTTTCTCTTCTTTGCTGGCCGCTCTCGTGAAAGTAACAAGCGCTCGGTGACCCTCCCTCCCGATCTTGCCGCCGGCGTCGTATCCCTCGACATCATCCTGCGCATGGATAGCACCAACTGGATGAGCCTCGGTGGTTCGTGTGATCAAAACATTCGAGCCCTCCTCACCGTTGGTCGTGATTCCCTCCGCGACAAACAAGCCGGCCTCGTGGTGTCGGGTGATGGCGCCTGCTGGGACAAAATCGCAAGCTCCGGTTTTGGCTCCGACGTGGCCCTCGCCGTTAGCACCCGCCCCCTCGCCGCCCCCAACACCACGGAAATGGCTTTGACCCTGCACTGGGCCCTCGATCTAACCGACCTCTCAACCCTCGACTTTCGCATCGGCGGCTCCGTCACACTTGCGGAAAACAGCTCCATCGCCATGGGCAACCTTCGCTTGTACGGCTGCTTCAACGCCGACAAAGGTCCGCCCCTTTCCCCTCCCACCTCCATCCATGAGCTTTCTACTCTCAACAAATATTGTGTGTGTGTGTGTGTGTGTGTGTGTGTGTGTGTGTGTGTGTGTGTGTGTGTGTGTGTGTGTGTGTGTGTGTGTGTGTGTGTGTGTGGTGGTTGTGGATGCGTGGATACAACCTGTTTTTGCGCGTGCTCATATTCGACTCCGTACGGGTTTGCAGAGGCCTGTGGCGATGCCCTCCCATTAAGTGTGCCAGTGCCCATCACCACCACCACCACTTCATCCACCTCGACAACCACCACGACAACCACCACCACGACCTCGACCACCTCGACTACCACCACGACAACCACCACAACAACCTCGACCACCTCGACCACCTCGACCACCACCACCAGCACCACATCCACCTCAAGCACCGTATCAACAACCAGCACGTCGCTGTCCACGTCCACACCCCCACGCTTCGCTAACCCCCCGACCGCTCCATCGTCCATGGCCTCCTCTTCCAAAAAAACGGACCTTGGTTTGATTGTCGGTCTGGTCATGGGTGTCCTGCTGCTCGGGCTGCTACTGGCCGTCATGCTCATTGCCCATCGACGGCGGCGCGCTGAGCGCCGGACCAACCCCTCTTATACCCCAGACGTACCCGATGAATACCTATGCCAAAACCCGCTGTACGGTCAGCAGCACGGGCCAGAGCCAGATCCCGACGTCTTGCCCCCCGACTATGGCGTGGCCAGAGATATCGGACCTACATCCTCAAAACCTCGCCCTGCAGGCTACAACCAAGCCACACTCACCCTCCCGCCCGGACCTGACATTGGCAACTATGAAGCCATGCCCTGCGACGGTCCTGCCTTTGCAACCCACAACACGATCGGCCCCGGTTCCGCCGCGAGCCCCCACGTTGTGGTGCACGGCGACATGGGTCGGCAGGAAGCCGAGTCTTTGCTGGTGCAAGAGGTACGCCCGGATGGACATGCCTTCTTGCTACGACGGCGGCCGGACGGCTCACTTGCCATGACCGTGGCACATGCCGGGCGCCCTCGCCACCATCTGCTTCGGTGGAGCCCGGACGATCAAGGCTGGTTCGTCAACGACACTCTAGTCGCGCCCTGCGCCAGACTCGACCAACTCATAGCTCGCCTTCAGCAAGCCGGCGCCACGGGCGGCTTGGCGTACAATCTCGGTCCCATGCTGGAGCGAGATACAACCGTCTAGCGTGGTTTTTGTTTTCTCTTTGTGCGTTTGTTTGGGAAGCGTTGTGCGCTTGTGATCGAATTTAGCGTTGTGCGCTTGTGATCGAATTTATCAGGAGTATCTCTCGGTGCTTCGGGGTCTGATAGGCAAGGGCTGCCAGTCCCATATCAAAAACACACAAAGCTGGCTCCTGGATGAGCAGCTGGATGTCCACACCCCCTTTTTTCCAGCTTCCCCTGTGGCAGAGAAAACTCGGGGACTTGATCGCTGCGTGCCGAGCTGCGGGTCGCCGCGAAAAAAATAGGCGGGTTATTGGTGTGAGTTTGTTCTTTACTACATGTAACTGTAAGTTGGGGTTTTTTTTTCTGGTCGGCTTCGCTTTGCACAAAGTGTTTGACGGCAATGAGCTGATTGTGACCTACACAGCGAGCCTTTGAGACAATGCTCGCAAATCCGTTCAAGCTTAACGGGCGCTTTGAAATTAACTTTTTCTCGAAAGTAAAGAATTAAAAAAGAAGAAGACGTGTGTTTGTTCGCATTTTCGTTCCCTCTTTAAAATTTTTTGCCCTTTGCTTTTGACTTCTTCTTTTTCTTCTTCTTCTTCTTTGGCAGCGGTCTCGGTCTCGATATCGGCATCGGCGGGCTGCTTGACGTGTCTTGCTTTGTGTGTGCGTGGTGACTGATCGTTTGTGCTTGGTTTGGGACTTACCTGATCAGGGTCTTGCGGCGACGCCAGATCGTTTTGATTGAAAGCACTGCTGCCATGTTTTTTTTTGCTTTCAGTTGGCCTCACTGATCTTACCTCGCAGTCGACAACGTGCGCTTGGGCAACCAAGTACACCTGTCCTCGCAACTGTCATCGAGAACTGTTAACCAAAGGTGAGTCGTTTGGTGCACCAGGCAGAGAAGAGCAAAGGGCCCGCTGACCGGCTGCCGTTTTGGAAACGGCGCGCGCCTGTCGAATTCTAGGTTGTCAGACGAGTTGTACTTGGAGGGGGCTCATGAAATTGGTGGTGGATAGAGAAGCAAGCGGTTTGAAGTGGATGGCGAACAGAGAGATACCGTTGCCATGAGTGATGATGGAGAGCAGCTGTACGATGCGTGTTATTCATCAGATCCACAAGAGGCGCTGCAGCTGTTGACCAGTTGGAACCACCAACGTCTACGAGATGCTGCCCAATACAAAGGTGGTTTCGTACGTATGCTGTTTGGTATATTGTTGTGTGATATTGGTTACACTTTGAAAGTGTCACTGGATAGGGTGTCGTTATGGTATAACATGGGACATATACTGCATGTTTGCATCCTCCCACAGTTTCGCGATACACCACTGCACTGGGCCTGCTATAACGGTCATGTCAAGGTGCTGGAGATGCTGTTGAAGCACGGTGCTGATACTGAAGCCAAGAACAACGTCAGTACAGTACCTCCCTCTTCCCCCCTTTACCCCCCCTATGATGGTGCACCCGTACCCCATGATGATGATGATGCTGTACCTGTACGTCATGCTGATGCATCATCCCACAGGATGGCTATACACCACTGCACAGGGCCTGCCGTAACGGTCATGCCAAGGTGGTGGAGATGCTGTTGAAGCACGGTGTTGATGCTAAAGCCAAGGACAACGTCAGTACAGTACCTCCCTCTTCCCCTTTACCCCCCTATGGTGGTGCACCTGTACCCCATGATGATGATGATGCTGATGCTGTACGTCATGCTGATGCATCATCCCACAGTATGGCAATACACCACTGCACTATGCCTGCTTGAACGGTCAGGTCAAGGTGGTGGAGATGCTGTTGAAGCACGGTGCTGATGCTATAGCCAAGACCGGCGTTAGTACCTCTTCCTCCCTCTTCTCGCCTTCTTCCCCCTATGATGGTGCACCTGTACCACATAATGATGATGATGGTGATGGTGATGCTGTACCTGTACGTCATGCTGATGCATCATCCCACAGTATGGCGGTACACCACTGCACAGGGCCTGCTATTACGGTCATGTCAAGGTGGTGGAGATTCTGTTGAAGCACGGTGTTTATGTTGAAGCCAAGGACAGCGTCAGTACAGTGCCTCTTTCTTTCCCCCTTTACCCCCCTATGATAATACACCTGTACCACATGATGATGATGATGATGATGCTGCTGCTGTACCTGTACGTCATGCTAATGCATCATCCCACAGGATGGCTATACACCACTGCACTGGGCCTGCCGTTACGGTCATGACAAGGTGGTGGAGATGCTGTTGAAGCACGGTGTTTATGTTGAAGCCAAGAACAACGTCAGTACAGTTCCCAACCCTCTTCTCCCCTTCACCCCTCTGACTGCTGCTCCTGCTCTCGCTGCTCGTCGCCTTTGCTCCGTCTCTCGCTCCTCTCCTGCCCACCGTTGGCATCCATTCTGCCTCCTGCTCCTTTTCTTCCTTCCCGCCATCCCTTTTGTCGGTGCTCCCTGCACCCCGCTGTATCTTGAGCCTGCTTCCCTTTTCCGATGTCGTGACTTCAATCTGGACGCTACCCCATCCCTTGCCATCGCGCTTCTGCCTCCCTCGCACTCAAGCCACTTTCAATGGCCGTTTTTTCGGTTTGACCCCAGCACACCGGAGGTTTAACCACCCCTTCCCCCCCACCCCCCCCCCCCAAAAAAAAAAAAAAAAAAAAAAAACGGAAAAAAAGAGACAAAAAAAGAACACGTGCCTCATGTTTCTGAATATTGATTATAATATTATATAGCGCGGCAAAACGCCGCTCCAACTAGCCTGCGCTACCTCGTCTGCCAGCCGAAAGGTTGTCCAGCAACTCTTGCGTCACGGTGCCGACCCAGATGCGAGAGATCTTGTAAGCCATTTACCATAATGCCGTACCTTTGGCGCTGTTCACCTGCGATTGATACCTGATGACCTGCTGTGGCAGACGGGTGCACGACCCTTGGATCTGCTTCTAGGCAGGGATCCCATCAAACTGGAGGTGGGCCTTTTTTTATTTGTGGTACTCATTGCAGAGGCAAGCCTGCTTACCGATGAATCTGTTTCACTTTATAGGTGGTCGCAGAGCTACTGAGCGCAACTCAAACGCTTTGCTCCTACCAAACTTCAAATTCCGATGGTGCGAATCTGATTCCCATGTCATCGTTCGCATTGTCTTGTTCTCATCGGAATTCCACGTGCCGCCAGTCCAAGGCTTGATTCATGCGGAGCAGACCAGACGCTGGCGGTGCGCTGCTGCTGTTCTCTGTAGCGTCGGCTGGCGCGTGGATCCTCAATTGTTCAATATCCACGACCTACAAACCCTTGGTGACTGCGTGGCCGCTCTAACGTCCGCCGCTCAAGCTGCACCTACAAATTGAAATTTGTGAAGGTTGTGGTTGCTTTGTCGATCGCTATGCAAACAGAAAATAAAGTCGATGACCAGGGCGGGCTTTGCTGAACGTCTAAAGCAGAACAGTCCAACAACCACCGAAAAAGAGCGAAAAACAGCCCTGCCTTCATTCGCCATGACATCGACTGATGACTATGGTGTCTCCATATTGGCGGCTGCAGTGCTGCGCGAGCTGGTGATGTGGGCGGCTCGCCGGAGGGTAAGCGGAGTAACTGCGAGCACAAAAAAAGACAAGAAGCACAAGAAGCACCATCATCATGTATTGGACTGCAAGCTTAGACGCATGTCCAGAAGCTACTGTATCACTGGAAATCGCCAGTCCCGGCGATGATGCTCGATTATCCTTCAGGGCGAGGAAGTAAGTCGAACATTGTCGTCGTTGCTGCCATCGAGATATAAGTACGGTCCTGTAGACCAAGGGAGTGGCATTTTGAGCCTTCATTGGGGGCGCTGGATGTCAAAGCCAGCATGCAGGTAGGAAGACACGCAACTTCTATGGCTGCATCCAGCTCGATCACAGTGAAGCTCGGGCGCTTGATGGCTGCGCACCGAACATGTGGTCGTGTAACGTCTTGTGACAAGGCCAGGATCAGTGAAGGCATGGGCTGATTGTGGCTTGCATCACAGCAAGCCTTTGAGGCAAGGCTTGCATCTGCGTTGCGCAGACGCGCTGGGAGATTACCATGCATGAAAATCGCCACACAGTGCTGGTAACCGACCGGCTTGCGTTTGTGCTGCTGAATCAAGAAGCAATTTGATGAGAAGGGATCAACACAAAGGCAGCCATTGACAATCAATGCCTCGACGACTGTTGAGGCATCAAGGCGCACCGCAACCGTGTGCTGGAAGCAGTGATCAAACTCAGGATTCTGAGAGACCGACGGGCGTCGACAGAGTGCTCGAATGATTGCCTGAACGGCTCATGCTGATGATGATGATGCCACGACACTGCGGCTCGCCCGAGGAGCAGAAACCAAGAGCCAGCGCAAAAAAAAAAAAAAAAAAAAAAAGAAGAAGAAGAACATGAAGCACAGTCATTGTGAGCGCGCCTTGCACTCGTCCGACCAACATCTCTGCCATGCCCAACTGGCCGGCGAGCGTGATGAGCGCGATCACGTGGCTGTTCCTCGACTCTAACGCCATTCAACAACTTTGGATGTCTTTTACCTGCATTCATCATGTCAGCCAAAACTACATGCCGATTCCCATTTGCATATCAACAACTGTCCGTTCTCAGATGTGATGAAATTTTACTTTCTTCGCCGCTTCATTCTCTCACAAGAGCCACGAGCTACTCCAACGCACACTGCACCACTCAAGCATGCCAAGGGCACGAGAAGCCTCATGCTCGCGATGCAACTTGATCTTTTCCAGTCGTATTGCGAGAGATCAGCATGTTGCTCAGGTACGTTGGATCGTCGATCTTCCTGACTGGCTGATTTCCCCTCTCAAAAAAAAAAAAAAAAAAAAAAAAAAAAAAAAAAAAAAAAAAAAAAAAATCTTGTCATATCTGAACACATAGGTGCACCAAAAGAGCACGCAAATCACGCTGCATGGAAAATCGCTGGTCAGGTACCGAGAGGATGACGGCCACTTTCATAGCCCAGTGGAAGGTTGCCACTACCGCCATGAACGCTCAGGGACTCTGAAATCACACCTGCGGCATCTGCATGAGAAAAAGATGCCATCAACAGATGCCATCAACAGTATTGCAGGGTCCGACTAGCAATCGCCCCGCAGTACATAATGAGCCCGCTATTACGACCGGCACCGGCCCTCCTAATCGTCAAAAACCTGCTCGGATGCGCACGAAAAAACGTGTGGTCAAGCTTGATCAACAGCACGGCATTGCCGCGGCGCGAATTTTCATGGACGAGATTGGATGCCTTGTATCCCCCCCGTCTTTGAGTCTCCAGTGTGCAAGCAGTGCGGCCATGTCCTGAGAGGCAGGGTGACGCATCATCTGTTCAAAAAGCACCAAGTGCGGTGCAGCCAAGAAGATATTGATGCAGCCATGGCACTCCTGCGCCCGCTGCAGCCCGAGGAGCCGCCGATCGACCTTGGGGCAGAATCTGAGCCGCGTACGCCTATCGAAGGCATCCCCATTCTGGACGGTGTGGGTTGCCCCTTGTGTCAGGCATGCTTCACGACAAAAGGCAGTCTGTGGAATCACATCGTAGCTGAGCATCCCGACGAACCAGAGGCCAAGCAGCCGCCTCGACGAGTCAAGCTGCAAAAGCCGCTGCGCGGCGCTGGAGCCCGCTGTATCAAGGTCATTGTCGAAGAAAGCCACGATGCCTCGGCAGCTGACGTCAGCGAGAACGAGGAGGAGCTGGAGGAGCAGCAGCGGTTCAAGCAGTTCATCTCAAGCACCCAGGCCATGGCCTCAGAGGCTGAGGATAAGCGATGCCCGCACGGCGTTCACCAGATGCATCCGTTCTACGATAGCGTGGGCATGACGCTGATCATCAACGAGCTGAAGCCAGAGCGCATGGTCGAACTGGGCCACAACACACCGTCGGCACTCCTCGAGTCGGGCATGCACGAGCTGTTCTGGTCGGCCTACGAGCAGCTCTCGGATCAGGGCCTGGCCGCCGCTGCGGTGACGCGTCTGTTTGACGACAATGAAGGGCAGTATCAGCATCGTCCCATGCGGCAAGTACAGCTGCAAACCGTAAGCAGGTACCTGAGTCTTGGAACACGCCTGGTCCAATTTTTGCTGCTGCTGGAGGCCATGCCAGCCCCCGATCCGTCCAGCTTTCTGGGCCAGGTGCCTGCCAGCCGCGGCCCTGCGGTAATTGATGCCACCGTGGCTCTGAGGGCGGGCCTGAACGCTGAAATGACCAAGAAAGAGCTGGTCGAGCCCCTCACGTCCCTGTGGCTGGCCCTGGTGGAGGTGGAGCTGAGCCTCTTTGACAACGACAAGGTGCACTTTGTCAACGTCTTCTTATTGTGCACGGCCGTGTCCAAAGGAAGCGGCATCCTGCAAGACATCAGGCAGTGGACCACGACGCCCGCTGGACTGCTGTACGTTTTCAAATTGTTCCTGCTTCGCCGTGGCAAGAATGAGTCGTGGTCAGTGGCCAACGAGCTCAGGCCGTATATGCAGCCCGGGCGATTGGTGCATTTCTTGAGCCAGTGCATGAGCATGGCACGAACAGCGAGCGTGGCCGAGGGGCAGGCTGGAGTTGACGTCGACATCCGAGCCGATGGCGACGTGACGGACGAGACGCTGCGCACCATTGTCTGCCGAGGTATTGAGCTCAATGTGGAGGAGCTCGGGGCCGCATTGGAGCAGATGCGCAAAGACATGACGGAAATATTGGACAAGCACCTCTTGCTCGACTCACGCCTGCGGAAAGATTACGAGAAAGAATATGAGCGGCTGCGATTGAAGGAGGATCGGACCAACAGGGTCAAGAACTGGTGGGTGGGCCATGGCAGTCCAGCCGAGAACGCGCTGTTTGATCACATTGGCCAGACCCCGAGTCTGCGGCAAGAATTTATCCGAACCGAGCATGGGCCCAGTGGCGAGCTGACCTTTCGAGAGGACAGGGTGCGGACATGGCTCCGATATGTGTGCAGGTTCAACGAGCTAGCCCTCATCTACACGCACATTGCCGGAGGTACGATTGGAATCAGGCTGTTTCTTTTTTTTTTTTTTTTCTTTGTTTTTTTTTTTTCGCTCCACTCATGCCTGTTTGCATTTGACTAGGTCTGCCGCCACGAGCCTCTGTGTATCAAGGGCTGTCCTACAAAAACGGCGTGGGCCGGCAACGAGCCGCGTTTTTTGCCGAGAAGCAGCTCTCCATATTGACCCGCGTGAGCAAGACCTACTGGCTGTCCCTGAACGAACAGCACACCTTTCGATACATGGACCAGGAAATCAGCACGCTGATATTCATGTATTTGCTGCTGTGCAAGCCTCTGGAGCACATGCTAAGCAGCTGGCTGCAAAAGCGGGGCAGCCTGAAAACCCCCGACGACGAGAATGGCATTCACAATGCCGAGCAGGACGACGAAGATTTGCTCGACGACGAGCTGGATGAAGACCACATGAGCCACGACGAGACGATGACATTGCGACGCGAGGTCCGGGACGCTCGAAACCACTACAACAACAGCCACCTGCTCTTCAACATTGCGCCCCTGCAGACGATGGTCAGCCCAGCCACCATATATGCGACATTTCGTCGACAAATGACCACGTACCTGCATC